GATGCAGACCAGTAACCACTCAGAATTAAGTCTGGAGTCCCTGGTGTCCAGTAAGCAGAACACTCAGTGCAGTTTATTTCAGGCAGATGGAGATTATAGTGGCCTTCAAAACCAGCAAAGTATCTAAGAAAAACAGAATCAGCACAATGAATGCGCGTAAGACAGCACAATAAATTTACATAAGACCATTCAAAAGAAAAACAACACATAAAAATGAGAGATGATCAGATGAGTCAAAGAGAGTAAAAACAGACTCTAAGGCCAAAGCCTATTTCTTATTTGTACAGTGTGTACAAGTATGTTTTTCGGCCCTTATTTAAAAACTGAGATTGAAGGAGCTGTTCCACAGTCTCAGAGCATAAACTGCAAACACATGATCACCTTTAAGCTTCAGACAAGCCCTCAGAACAGCCAACAAATTCTGTAAGGACAACCTCAGAGAAGGTTGTGTGGTTGTGGGTCTGAGCAAATTGCCAGTAGAAGGGGCTAAACTACTCAGTGCTTTAAAAACAAATAAAAGCACTTTAAACTGTATCTTATATTGAACTGGTAGCCAATGAATCGAAGCAAGCACTGGTGTAATATGGTCTCCTTTCTTGTTCCCTGTAGTTATGCCTTCTAATAATTTGCCCTAATGGGAGCATGTACAATAAAAAAGGATGGGCCCCAGTATGGACCCATGTGGAACACCACATGTCATGTGAGCAGAGAGGGAAAAGAAGTTGCCAGTGTTCAATGAAAATGTTCTGTGCTTGAGGTGAGAACTAAACCACCTCAGGGTGACTTCCTGTAACCCTACCAACTTTTCTAAGCGGTAAATAAGTATTTTATGGTCGACAGTGTCAAAAGCAGAGCTGAGACCCAATAACATGAGGATGGTGCAATTTTCTGAATCAACTGAAAGTAATAGATCATTTGCCACCTTAGGGAGGGCAGATTCAGTGCTGTGCACAGCCTTAAAACCAAACTAAAGAGTAAAAGCTAAGAAAAAACAACTGTTTTCAGTAGTTTAGAGAGAAATTGCCGTCCAAAACAATGAAAACGAACTTTTGATTAAACCAGGCACATCAATATGAACCGAAAATAATGATTACGCTTAAAATAATACGCAACAACATATGAGATAAATTGAAAGCACACGGGAATGGAGAATATAATTAATTTATTATTCATTTGCACAAAAATCATACATAATTAAACATACAAAGAATATACATTTTTATAGTTGACACTGCATAACAGTTTACCTACACAAGCTGGCTTTAGCTTGCTTTTTCAGCAGGGTTGTTTATATGCTTGTTTGTATTTATTCCAATGTTAGTGTCTTAACAAACAACTGCCCAGAAAAACAGCTTTAAATGGATGGATAATATTGGTCACAGTCTGAAAAAATCCTTTTAAACATAAAGCTAGCTTAACTAGGCAGCTAACGTCAGTGGCTTAATGGTGCTATACACCAATGGTGCTTTACAGCCAAATGCTACCAACTCTATAAGTACAAGTGTCTATCATCACAAGCTGAAAGAGTAATAAGCCCTTTTCACAAGAATTGGAACTGCGTAAACACTGGGTAAAACAAGTTCTGCTATTGCCTTTCGGACAGTTACTAACCTCAGAAATACAGGCATTCATATCACTTCAGCTCACCACAGAAAGGTGTGTCACTTTATCTTTGTCATAGTTGCCAAGACTGGAATTCAAGGGTGTGTCCACAATGGTTGGAAAACCAAACACACAACAATGAGGGAGTGCAAACTAAATAAAGGTTATAAATTTTTTGTGGAAAAATTGCTTCACAGCTATTAGAGTACATTAACGTCAGCTAACAGTTACAGAGTGATAAATTGATGAATAGGTGAAGATAACTATAACGAGAATGCTAGATAAGCCACATTAGCTGGAGATGTTGAAACAGCTTGTTAACAATAAAATAGTTTGCAAAAAGCTAAACACACACACATTCTGGTAGGGGGGCACGCCCTGGTCGTCATGGTCCGTAGCGCCACTGTAGACGTTTAACACAACTACCAACTCCAGTGAATGAACATCTATGCCCTATTGAGCACTCGTTCTCTCAGATACTGACAGTTTTTGATGGAGAAAATTAACTGTTCCTCTGAAAGGGGCTCTAGCAGCAATGTGCACAAACTACATTCAGTGTAACACTAGTGAGCAGCGGTGAAATGCTGACGCAGAGGCTCTATAACATTAGCGTGCTAATTCATGTAACTTAGCATCATTGACACACTAGTTAGTCTATCTATCCTAGCTAAAGGAGAAGCGATGAACTTAACGCAAGACCTCTCGATACTGCATATAACTAAAACATATGGTTGTAGTCACTGATTAAGTACTATAATTTAGATGCGAATTCTCTTACACTTAAAAGTACAGACGACACTCTTTGCTAGCTATAGACCTTTCCTTGCTTGATCTACTGTGATCTACTACAAATATGGTGGAGCTTGATGATTTCAGAGTTGTATTGGAGGGCCAAGAAAGTGTGTATGTGTAAGCGTACTGTTGACACACGTAAGGCCTGAAACATATTCACACAAGGATGTGATTGCAGACTTTGCCTGTCGTTGAGTTCAAAAATGCGTCAACGACAGGCATTTCATAACGCAACACAAGCACAAGCTGCATTCTCAGCATTACAGCAGGTGGCGCTGTAACGGCAGCCGAGCCTGTCAAGCGGTCTTGTACCGCCAGTGTGCTTTCTCAACTCAGTCTCATGCAAAAATGGCTGACATAAAGACAAATGATACAAGCTTTTCATTCCAACATAACAGGTTAAGATTCACCCTCCTCTAAGTTTAGCTGTTGTTGCTGTTGGAATGGCAGAAGATCCCACTCTGATCTGTCCTCTATCTCCCCCTTGAGCACTGAGTGTTTTACCTGCCACAGCAGTGTAAGAACACATGCTGAGTTTGTACAGAAGGGCTATGTGTTTGCAATGCGTCAGCCAAGCGTTGTCATTTATGTTTTCCAACTTGCGTTGAGCATGTTTCTGACTCTTAATGCGTCAAAATTACACACTGTGTGATCTGCACACAACTGTGAGACTGGGTTGAGAACTCTTATTCGCTTATATAGTAGTCTCCTAACTTCTGTTTTAAACTCTGAAGTGTAAGCGTGTAAAACAAACCCAAACTACAGTCTAGATTTTTTTTTTTTACAAAGAAGAAGTCATAGAAATGTTTATCACAGGGCAAATCTACTGGAACACTGGAGGAGTGTTTTTTTTTATTTCATTGTCTGCATGGTGGAAATTTAGTGGGTCAAAGTAAACTGGGCATCTTCCTGATACCTGAAAAATTAGTAAATAAATAAAATCTAAATCTCATTACAATTTATTAAGATGTAATGTTCACTTATTTGGCTGTATTTTTGTATTATTTTATGTGCATTTATTTTGCATGCTCAGTTTTGAAGGACTTTCAGGTTTTGCTTCAGGGAAGCTCCACCTCCAGCACTCTTATTTGGAGGTAATCCACCAAGAAATGTTTAGTTCTTAGTTCTAGATTTTGTCGAGGCTGAGAGGCTGAGAGTGCTTCAAGTGAAGCTGTTCCAGCATCGAATTAGTGGATCATCACTGGGATGCTGCACACAATAAAAATGACTAAATGTCATTTTCTGTTGCATTTTCACCGGTTCTTCAGAGCAGCGTTCTGTGTATGTTCTGGCCCTGTGTCGCCACCATGAGGCCTAAACATGTACTAGAGCAGTGTTTCTCAACCCTGGTCCTGTTACTGCTTTAACACACCCGCGTTAACTAAGTAATGGGCTGATAATGAGCTGATTAGTTGGATCAGGCGTGTCGGGACCACAGAAAACACGAAAAAATGGGGCACACTGGGCCTCCAGGGCCAGAGTTGAGAAACACTGTGAATCATCTCTCTAATCCCTGATGATCACTGCAGCACACGGTTCCTAAAGCTTTCTGAGAATCTTTTACACGATAGTGATGATACAATACAGTGTTTCCTAGAGCAGAGCTGTAAATTTAGACTCTTAACAAAAAGGGGTCTTTGGCTCGCAACAACAGTGGAACCCTTTTTGGTGCGATATAGAAGGATATGCAGCTGGTTTTCTATCATACACACTTGAAAAAGATGGTTCTTCATGGGTTGTCTAGTAAAGCCAATTTAGAACCATGAGTTATATATAGAACCATTGGCATGCTTAAATGATTCTTTGTATGGTGAAATCATTTCTCAGATTGATGGGAGACTAAATTGTTTTTTTGTTTATGTTTTTATGGATTTACGTTTCTATGTAGTACCAAAAAGGGTTCTGCTATTGTTACAAGCTTGATATCATAACAATAGAAGAACCCTTTTGGTGCTATAGAACCATTTTCAGAAAAGTTCTATGTAGAATCATATACAACACATTCTCCATCAATCTGAAGACCGTTTCACTATGCAAAGAATCATTTAAGCATGCAAATGGTTCTAGATAGAACTCATGGTTCTAAATGGAACCATTGCCTTTACTAAAGAACCCTTGAAGAAATGTGTAGTGTGCAGAAAGGAACCATTTGACCATGCAAAAAGTGATTATGCATTCTTATGGTTCTTTGAGTGTTTACGGTTCTATATCGAACCATTGCCTTTATTAAAGAACCCTTGAAGAAACATGATTTAAGAGTGTAGGGCACTGCTCATAATTTCAAAAAGTTATTTTTAACCCCTCGAACTCCAGGCTTATTATTGCTTATTAATCTTAATACATATTAACTACCATAAATTAATCTGCTATATCAATATTAAGTAATATATTATTGCAGTCTAGAAAAAAAAAAAAAAACATCTTCAAAATGGTAACTTTACAAGAGAAAACAAAATCTTTTCAACTTTAAATGTAAGTTAATATTTTAAAAAATCAATTTTGGAGCATTTCTATTGGCCCAAATGTTCCACATAGTGTAAAGAACCATTGCTGTAGAAATGCACTGTATTTGATGTATATTTATTTATTTGTTTGTAGAGAAACAATATAAGTTAACTAGTTCTGGAAGTGAAAAACTTGTGCAGACCGTCATTAAAGGTAAATGTTACTGATTGATTGCATTGACAACTTTGTTCATCCTTGTTTTAGCTTTCCTGTTTATTTACAATGTAGACAACATTGTTAGAACGTCATCCCAGCCTGCTGCCCTGATGCCCCCTCATCTGTGAATATGAATATCTTAAACAAGCATCTAAAACATGTACAACACATATGTTTACACATCAGGAGGCTTATATTTCATTAGATGAATATTTCTCTGTTTACAATAGAAAAGAAGCTACAGTGAATTGCAATCCACAAGTACAATCGAGTCTTATTAATGTTGATATATCAGAGAAATATTTTAGCACACTCTTAAACAATAATGGTGCCAAAAACGGTTCTTTGGAATGATGACTTTTGGTTCCCTAAAGAACATTTCACAGGAAGAACTACTTTTGTAATTGAGATATGTGAAAATAAATTTCAAAGAACATGCACATAACATAATGGTTCTACGCCAATTAAAGATTTGTCCTGGAGTCATACATCGAAGCCAAGAGCCGTTTTGGAACCTTTATTTTTAAGGGGGAATTGCATTGATTGGTAAAAGAAATTAGGATAATTTAATCATTAAGATGTAAACAAAGTCATTCTGAGTGGTTTGATGTGAAATGGGTCATTGTATTGGAATTTACAGGCTCTGAAAATTTTCGTTACAATAGTGGTGATTAGGAACCAGAGGTCATGATATCTACAATGTAAAGGGCTGTGGACCAGTGACCCTACATGCTTTCTGACTTTTTATATGTAATGTTGATGATGGTAAAATTGCAGACAATCTGAAAAGAGGACACATTTTTTGGGTACTATGTTGCCTCACAACACCATGAATACATCTCTCTACAATTAATATCACTAAAATATGTTTTACACCAAAACCTTCTCAAAAATATCACCTCAGGTAACATATTCATAACATAATTTCATGCAATAACTTTCTGTGAGGGAGCTTTTAGCGACATAAACAGCTTAAGATGTCTGGTTCCCATCACCACCACTGCGAACAATTCTGGCTTCTGAAGTTTCGCCATGATGATGTGTTTAACATCAAACCACTCTAAATGACTTTGTTTACATCTTAAAAATTGAATTGTGTACACTCTTAAAAAGATGGCTCTCAAGGGTTCTTTAGTAAAAGGAATGATTCTATTTAGAACCAGTTCATGATAAATGGTTCTTTGCATGGTGAAATGGTTCTCAGATTCCATTCCCTCTACTAAAGAATCCTCGAAGAACCATCTTTATAAGTGTAGACATATTGAAAAATCATTTTGCTATAAATATAATATAAATCCTGCCATTTGCACTCAACTTGCAATTAAGAATAAAGTTAAAATGAAATGTCCCTCCTATTATCAATCTGGCCCAGGTAGATGATGTGTGTCCGATAAAAGGACAAATTGTAAAGAGCTTTTAAAGCAGGACAGCTTTCACGACCATTCAGTCAGAGGTTTATCAGAAAGCTCTCCGCATTTCATACTGTGACCAGGTGCCAGTGGCATCCTCTTTGGCCCATGGGATCGTCTCGTTCAGGGCTGGAGGGTCATTCTCAGTCTCTTCTGTGGACAGGGCTGGCATTTTGGCTGCAGATTCGCTGGACGCGGTCATGTATGAGGGGCACGTGTAGCTGCTGGCCGTGGGCTGGAAGGACGAGTGATACTGAACATCCTCCAGGGTGTGCAGGGAGTAGAACTGAGGCATGCTGGCGCTCCTGGAGGACGAACGGTACTGGCTGGGACTGGACGGCTCCGAGCCAGTCAGGGAGCTGGTCACCGGCATGGCCATCGGCGCGGGAGCCAGGCCATCGCCGCACAGACCCTCCACTGCCTCCGTCCCAGCCTGCTCCCAGGAATCCCTCTGCAGAGCACACAAACAACACTCAAATTCTTTACCGTGAGCTTCAGCTCAGACTGGAGGACAGTCAAGATCTTATCACAGGAGAAAATGACAGTTTAGCCTGTAGTACCAGGCTGATTGCATCTCTTTGTTCTAAAGGACATTGGAGAACATTATGTGGAGGTACATATGGAGAGGACACAAGCTGAGAAAAGAACAGAGGAGTACAGAAAAACACAATGATCTAATAGTTTTTAATCACTGTGATTATAGTATATATAGGTTATAAAGAAACAAGGGATAACGAAGGTTCATCATTAGTGAAGTTTTTTCTAGAACCTTGTATCCAAGCCAAGAACCTTTACTTTTAAGAATATATGACCATTAACCTTAAGCTCTAGGCTAATTGTTCAGTTATTATTTAGTAATATGTAATAATTTAGTGCTATGAATTACAAAGTAGCTTCTACGAAACTAATGCAAGTTAAGCAGTTACACTCATGAGATGTGAACATAAAGAACCTTTTAGGAACCTTTTCTAACCCCAGTTATTCTGTTATAAATGTTAAATTTACTATGGATTACATAGTAACTACTGTAAAACTCATATCTTAAGCAGCTAAACTCTTAAAAATACATAGAAAGTATGCTTTGGAGCAATACTATAGAAAAACACTTTTTCCCTAAGGAATCTTTCGTGGATGGATTCTTTGTTTTAAAATGAAATGTGTGAGAGTGAAGAGAATTTTGAAGTTTGAAAAACTTTCACAAAATTCTAAGTTTTTTTTTTTACCAATTAAAGGCTGTTCTTAGAACCACAAGAGCCTTATAGAAACCTATTTTTGAGAGTATGAGATCATTAACTGAATAAATGCAGTATGTTCCTGTGTAATTTTAGATTAGATTTAGCTTTTTATTCAGTTAGTAATGATGAAGCTTATTACATATTAATTGCTCTTACTTCACACTATAATTACTATGGAACTATTTTAAGAACCATTTTAAACGTACAAAAAACTCACACAAAATCTAAAAGTTCTATACTAATTAAAGCTTCATTGTAAAGCCAAGAACTATTCAGGTACTTTTATTTTGTAAGATTTGAAAGTGAGGATTAATTTCATATTGTCAGGTTAAGAAAACCAAACACATTGCTAAGACTCTTACCAGCACAAAATGTGAAGTATCTCCAGGAAAAGGGGGCAGCAGAGTGGACAATGCAGAAGATGAGAAAATGGTGCTTCCTCCACTGGACAGGGCAGCACTGCGGTAGTCACTGAAAGTCTCCGGGTAGTAACTGTCTATGAGGGACGAGTAGCTGGACGTAGACGTAGTGTCACAGGAGATGGACTTCCCTGTCAGTGGTGAGGAGTACACATCAGTGGAGAACTGCTTGCTCGAAGGGCAAAACTCTGCTTCAGAAATGAATGGCCTTCTCATGCTGTAGTATCCTGGAAGCACATGGGAGCCTAAACACAACATGAATTAATCAGCATTCAAGAGTCCTGAACCTTTAAATGTTATGAAAATGCTATGGCAGTACTAGTGATAGCAGGACATACACACTCTTAAAAATAAAGATCTCTAAATGGATTGTGTTAAGTGATGCCAAAGAAGAACACTTTCGGTTTGTTAAAGAATCCTTCAGTGGACGATTTTTTTTATGCAGCAGTTAACAAAATGGGGGGTCGAGGCCCCCTGGGATGCTGGAAGGGTGTACTAAGGTTTCTGCAGAAAAAACTCAGAAGTTGTATCTCTATTTAGTCTGTTTTTAATTTTGTTTTAAAGTGCAGTTGCACTTAAAATTAAAGCGTTAAAGCTTTTTCCTAGTACTATATAACCAGGCCATGAGCCACTAAGGAACCTTCATTTTTAAGAAGGTGCTTGTTTCCTATAATATAATTCACCTCTGAAGGTGAATCTTAAAGTTTAACAAACCTCAACTTAAGGTTCTAGATCAGTTAAAAGTTTGTCTATAAATTCCTGTGACAACAAGAAGACGAATACTATTTTGTACATATTTGTTCATAAAATCAACTGCATACTGTACATTCTTCTACTTTCTCTTTGATCAGTGTCTGGTCACCATGTGATAAGAATTTGTAAAGATAACAGGCCTCACCTGTCATTTGGACAAACGGGCTCTGAGGAGTTGACACCCCCTGAAAACAAGCAACAAAGATTAGTCTGAAGAGTTAAAATGTATTATTTCAATGCAGTTACTCATAACATGCCAGTGTTATGGTATGTGTGTTATTCATTTTTCCTTTAGTCAGTACAGCTAATCTATAGACAAAGTTGATAAGAACTGCAAGAACATATATCTACACTGTAAAAAATGGTTCGTCAGATCTACTTAAAAAATTACTTCATGCGGTAACAAGTAAATTACCTAGTTTTATTCAATCTAAATAAATACTTTGAATGAACGATTCTTCCAATCAATGTAGAATTGCTTGTTACCACATGAAGTAATTTTTTAAGTAGATCTGACGAGCCACTTTTTACAGAGTTTATGAATTTATACCAAAGTATATCCATCTCTATGGAAAGCTGAGGGTAATTGGAATAGAATCACGTGTGAGAAACCGTGAAATGTGAACACTGTCGTAGCTCCTCTGCTCTCTCGAGACATGGAGATAGTTGCTATCTGACTCCATTCAAAAGTAACAGACTCTACAGTGTAAAAAATGGCTCGTCAGATCTACCTATAAAAATTACTTCATGTGGTAACAAGTAGATTATCTAGTTTTGTTCAACCTAAATAAATACTTTGAATGAACAATTCTTTCAATCAAAGTCATTTTTTGAGCTGAATAAAACTAGTTAATGTACTTGTTACCACATGAAGTACATTTTAGGTAGATCTGATGAGCCACTTTTTACAGTGTACAAGAAGCACACGGTAGCACAGTCTGCTCTCAGTTCAGTTACTGTCTTTAACATAAATAACATAAACTGTTTGTTATTAGGAGAGATTAGCTAATGTTTTCACTACCTTTCCTTGCAATGAATGATGTGTTGTACATTCCTGCTTCAAAATAGGTAAAACAAATTGTACAATGTTATTATATTATTATTTTCTGTACTGATAAGCGGTTTAGAAAATGTGTGAGGATTGGAGATTTGGAGCCCTCTCTGGTGTAAATGTACAATCACACATAACACGTAGTAGAACATTTTGTAAAGTGGGTTGTGCTTTGCAACCCACACACACATGGGACTTTGGTTACTCCATTCACAGCCTAAAGGCATCACACAGTTAAGCAAGCAAAAGGAACTTCACTTGGGATATTCCATCATTCCATGTATGAAGAGTTTTAACACTGTTTATTTTTGCAGCTGATAGTTCAAGACAGGTTCAGAGGAGGTAGCTTACTTTTTGCTGCACTTAAGCCAGCCAGTCATATGTTCTGGGATGTTTCCATGATGGAGAACCTTGAGTCATCATTAAGCAAATGAAGGTCACGGTCCATGGGAAAGTGCGTCTTTGTCAAAGAGGAGATTCAACTACCTCCTCCCAAAAAGATTAAACCTTTGGGCACATAATGTACACAGAAGTCTTATTTGGACAGAGAGTACAGTAGAGGTGAGGACTTAAGCGTAGTGTCAGATAAGCTTTGTGGCAGCTCATTAGGATAATACTGACTTTGAATTTAAGAGCTGGACATCGAGCCAGACCTTCTTGATGATTCTGTCTGTGTGATGTTTATACATAAAGACTTACAGTGTGGTCCAAAAAACATCTTTTCTCCTGACTCAGTAAGGCTACTGTTTAACATTAACAGACGAATGTTACATAGTGCAGTTTGAATTCTCCTTATTGTTGTTGCTATTCATTATAATTCACTCAGTCAGTCTAATGTGCAGCACTACTCAGTCTGAATGCTGTTAGGAAGCGTGTTGTGTCTGAAAAGTGGAGGGAACAGATCTGGGAGAGAAAACTACAGACACAGAGCTTCTCTACTGTTTGCATATTGCAAACATGAAAGAGTTGATATCAACGTAACACTGGCTGCAGGGTAAGCAAATTTTGAGGCATGGATTTGAATGTCATTTGCTCATGCCAAGACTTCCCCATATGACCTATCTACGGCTCAGTGCGTCTCTGAAGGCAGGCTATGAAAATCAGGCTGTTAAAGCTAATAAACTCAGAGGCAACCTGACAGGGGGCTTAAAATAAAGCGATGAGTTGGATAAATGGAGGGGGGTGTGATGGGGGGGGGGCGACAGAATAGGCTGACTCCAAAGACACTTCATCTCTGAGCTCAACATAATGATCGAGATGACAAATGAGGCTGGAGTTCAGCGTGGAGGAGTCAGCCTCACGCACTCCTGTTAAAAATCATGATTGACAATCTAAATATCAGAAAACATGACCCCAAAAATGTCACCCTCTAATTAGTGTCAGGGAATGTGAACATTTGCAAAATTGTGAGGAACTTGTGGATCTGTTCTTTAACATTAGATTAAAAAGTTTACAGTTGTCATCTTTATGAGTTATCTCTCTATAAAAAATTTTAATTGATTTGTTTCTGACAAAACATTACATCTGCTGTAAATCCAAATGCTTAGATTTTAAACACTTTTCTGTATCACTTTTTAAAACTGTAACATCAATCAAGCATGAGTTTCAAACCTATACACCTCATGATCCTTTTTAAATTCAAATATCTTCATCTTTAACACTGGTGTTTACATAATGTTGCAGTTAAACTTTGCCCAGTTTGTCCTCAAACAGGGAAACAGCTCAATTAAACACAGTGACGCAAGTGAGTGCAATATAATATACACAGGTGTTTAACTGCACCTCCTTTGCTGAAGCTGATCTCAGTCAAGTGTTTACTTAGCAGTTAAACTGTTTTCTTGACCTGGTACTTTAGTATGTCTGCTCAGGTTGGTTGTTACTTTACTTCCATTGCTAGCCATTGCTTCACAGACGTAACAATGCTTTTACTTGAATATGGATTTAAGCTACTCTACCTACCTCTGTACATGACTAGCAAGCTCTTCAAAGAAGAAAACATTAATTCAACTGTACTGCTGGACACACATTGCTAACAGTATAAGCACAAGATTGATCCCGCATTTTTGTTACCTTGGAATTACCGTGCTTCAAAACAAATGCAGGAAAAAGGCACTCAAGTGTGCCAAACAGGAGCCAGACAAAGGAAGAAGAACAAACATTGTCAGTATTGAGTTCTCTTTTTCAAAACTCTTCAAACAGTTAGCACAACAACACTTAGTTTGTACCAAATCAACATATTTTTCCATCCTTGAGTGGAAAATTCATTTAGTAACCACAATTTTTAAAATTCTTTCATTCACTTCTCACTCAGTCTCAGCCTGGAACACAACTGTAGCTGAAACGGCAAATGCTTGCATACACTATTACAGAACTGTGACTCTTTTCTCCAGAATATGAAACTTAACTGCATATCACAAATACTAAATCAGACAACAACCAAAACCTAAACAATAAAAACTGCTGACTGAATGTATGTAACTAGGCCAATCACGGCTGAGCTGAAGTCCTGCCCAGGTGTTGATCATTTGCAAAAGGGGTCACTTTTGGAGTTATTTTATTCACAACAGATGATCCATTATGGGCCCAGCACATAGTATGAAAGTGGATATTCATACATAGAGAGTTTTCACAGCAAGGGAGGACATTAAGTGTGACGTGGACGAGAACGTGGCCAAATAATGCAGATCAGGTTGTGGAGGTAATACAGACCTTTGGTTTTGTTCACCTTAAATACTTTCAATGAAATAATGGAAAACAAAGCATTAGATAAACAAAATCAATTAAGCTTATTACAAAAAACAACTGCAACAATAACAATGTAATAATAGGCTTATTACAAAATGAAAAAAAACTACAGCGCAGATATCTCTTTACTGCTTCACAGATTTACATAAAACAGTGGATCTACCTTAATGGCAACAGTTAAAACTGTACTAATAATCACTATAAACAGTTCTTTTATAGTGTAATATGTACAGACTCATATGTAGTTGTATTTAGTACACAGTCCATTCCTCTGGTTACCTTAGTTATCTAATGTTAGTCAGGTGACTGGACTGTGTGGACCGGCCAGAAGGTTCTGTATAGTGATAGTGTTGGTTGGTTTGATTAGCTTTGCCGCTTTTCCACAGTAAATATTAATGCTGGTGATGTTACTGTTGAAACAGTGAAGCAATTAAACACTATCATGTCAGCTTCTGTTTTCTGATGGCTGTTTTCACATTGATCTGTAAAGCACACAGATTCTTCTGGTCATCAACATGGTGACGTGGTCATACAGTGACGTCACATGAGACATGAATAGCACAAGGAATTTTAAGAGATACACGAATACAAAATTTAGTCAATGTGTACGGTCATTTGTATGTGTATATCAAGCACTTTACAAGTGCCTCAGCCACATTTTAGAATCACAAATGTCTATTTTATAATATAATTTTACATTTGAAAAAATTTTAATTGTTAAAATAATTTTGAGTCTAAAAGTTCAGTGATCGAAATTGATCCCTACTTCATTAGTCCCGTGCTATATAGAGTTCTTCCATAGTCGCAATTGTATGAATGTAAATTGAGTTTTCATACATTGGATTGTGGTAAATGCATGTAAATAAAAGAAGGCAGAAGTCACACTTTTTGAGACGTGTCATGGAAGTTCTTCTGACTGGTGCTATAACACCTTTAAAGGACAGCGGTGAGTAACTTGACTATAGAAGATAAATATACAGGATTAATAAGATGAGCCTAGGAAGACAAGCACTATAGGAGAGTTCAGTAGAACACTGTGAGACACTGTTAGCTACAGTCAAAGAAACCTTGCTAACGTCAGCTTAGTTGATTAATGTTAAGCTATTTGAAGTTAGCTAACGTTAAGCTTCTGGTAGGGAACAAATGGCCGAGCTACCAATGTTAGTTAGATTAATACGTTATTATCAATGACAGAGTATTACTGATAAATCGTTTCTATTCATTTGCTATGAGAAAGCTAGAAACCATCTAGCTAATGTCGAGGCTACAAGCACACTAGCCAACTCAATACCACAGCCACGAACGTGCCTTGACCAATTGGCATAAAGCTGCTTAAGAAAAGATGCCATGATTGGTGCGCTGACAGGAACCGCCCCTCGGCAGCTCTGATTGGCTGGAGTTTTGGCACAAACATTCAGACATTTTACAGCGAGCAGATGTGAAAGTCGAGCGCGCGCTGCGGAGCTGCGAGCAGAAATGATTTGCGCGCATGTGCGAGTTTTGAAGGTGAAGAGCGCGATTGAGCAGGTTTTCCAGTTTTGAGTGAAAACCGGAGTGTTTTGCACGTTCGAGTTCTGAAAGGGAAATGCATTGTTGTGCAGATTTTCAAGTTCTGAATGAAACCAGAGTGTTTTGTTGAGCAGATCCGAGGTGTTTACCTGCGAACTTCATGCTGCCAAGTGCGTTCAAGTTCATTAGCTGCGCTCAGATCAGCACTGTCCTCTCAAACCGGAACATTCCTCTCTCAAACATCAGGATCTTCTCTCAAACATTTTGGCACAAAACTAACCCCATAGTTCACTACAAATTACAAGCGGGAGATTGTATTGCCTTTAAAATCACTCTGGAATTCCAGTTTATGATTTGGACACTAAGAGAAAAATGGCAGAAGTGCTCAGTAGCACCCTAAAATACAAATAGGGACTCATTTTGGTCACAGCCCAGGGCTACAAAGAGCTCCTTAACGGCCCATTGAGCAGCCCACAATCTCAAATTGACATGTATAGTTTACACTAGACATCAGTTGAACTCTCACAGAAGTTGATTCGCACTCTTCCTGTGCACCTGTGCCTGTTCTTCCAGCTAACACCTAAGGCTGTGCTAGCTCATTGAGTGAGATACAAATGCAGGCTTGAATGGTGAGAAAGCCACCAGTAGTAGTTCAATGTGTAGAGGAATTGGAGGGCCACCTTATTACATCAACTACCCAACTAAGCCCTGAAGACTCCAACCATAACCTCCAACAACCTTTCTTAGTCCCCATTAGCAGCTAAACATGTACTAAAGAAAATCATTAAAGCAACAACACAGCTAAAAATGCACACAATTTTTCCTTTACCCCAAATCAGACAAAATATGTAGTCTCTGAAGTTTGCTTCTTTAGTTTTGCGCTAGGGCTACAATAAAGAAGCTAACAATGAGTAGAAGTTAATGGCCACCTGTTAGCATTGTGTAAATCTGCATGATTTGCAAGATCACCATACACTTACACCAAAGTAAGTGTATTAAGTTGTGAAGTAATCTCAAATTTACTAGTTTGTGTAGGTTCTGATGCTGTATGCCATGTCGTCATTGATACAAATGGGCAAAAGTACGTTTTTAAAAGCTAAAACTAATGGCAGCCATTAAAGCCTGAATTTCATCCATACTTTTCCCTATTTTATAAATAACAGTAGATCATACAGACAAGTGTATGATGATTGAGGCATGCAGTGTGTGCATTACTAGCTGGTGGGATGCAAACTCCCTGCTCCATTAGCTACATTACCTTCATTGATCTATTGCTAAAATAAAGAAGCAAACATCAGCCACTAACTACATTTTGTCTGACTCCAACTGAGGCACAGGGGAAACAGCTTTGCTAACTAGAGCTGGGAATCAAAATTCAATACATTTATGGTACTGACCGATTACTTCAATACCACCAAATTTGAAAATATTGCATGTCATTCAATACCGGCATCCATGAGCCAATAAGCATGCTTGTTGCAAATTGAAGACTACTGATTGGCTGTCCAAATTCCTTTCTATATGCATGTTATGAACATTGTCACTTCTTAGTTAGTCCGCTAAGCATCCCGATAATTAATTATACACACTTCCAGCACCTCAAACCTATTTGTGGTTTGAGCCACATATATGGACCGTAAATAATACTGTTTACATGCTGCACTAAACTCTTTTATTGAAAAAAAGTGATCAAAAACACTTATTGTTAAGACAAACGGTTTTAAATAATTTGCTTAGGAAGCCCACAGCTTTAGACTAAAATTCTTTTGCTTTGAGTGATCCTATACATTAATTATGTTTATTTGATTGAACGTTCCATTTTGTCACTAACAAAACACGACCAAAACTTTTGGTAGTAACTGTTTGTGTTTGGTAGTGACTGTTGTAGTGACAATTTTAGCTAATTTTGAGCAGAACTTAAAAACGCTAGCCAGTACAGGACTAGCCAACACAAATATAAGCACGCAATGCTATGTGATCCTTCAACAGTTTACACGTAAAAAGAAAATCATGAAAAATCATCTGGTTTTCAGGCTTTAGGACACATTTACTTCAGAACCAAGGGATCTAACTGCTTGGGGTATGTTTAGGGGTTAGGGTTAGGGCTTGGGGTATGTTTAGGGGTTAGGGTTAGGGCTTGGGGTATGTTTAGGGGTTAGGGTTAGGGTTTGGGGTATGTTTAGGGGTTAGGGTTAGGGCTTGGGGTATGTTTAGGGGTTAGGGTTAGGGCTTGGGGTATGTTTAGGGGTTAGGCTTTGGTGTATGTTAAGGTGGTTAGGGTTAGGGTTTGGGGCACCTCCCAATAGAAAGTGCCCTATAAATCATGACTTTGTACATATTTAGTTTATTACTATCTCAATAACTGCCTTGGGTTTAAATAGATCATAATATTATGCTTTCAAATATTTAAGGTCTGAAAACCTCATTGTTTTTAAATAGTTTTGCAGTGGCAGTATAGTTTGAACTGATTCAGAAAAATGGTCCATGTACAGTATATGTACATACATAAACACGCAAATACTTTTTTTACCTCAAAAGAATGGCCTAATACTCATGCTCAGCACAGATTATGTAAGACTATAGCTGTTATTTGGGCAGCAGGCCTGGCAAGTGCGTCTCAGTGTTTGGTGTCGTGTTTAGACCTGAAGGCTGCGGCCTGAGTTTGCTGCTGCAGATGGCTCCTCTCTCTTGGTTAAAAGGCCATAGACTAAAGCCACCTGATACGAAAGCAGCCTTTGTGTTGGCTGCTTTTGATTTGGGCCATTTCCTCTCAATACCTCTCCTCCTTTTCAGCTATTGTTATACTTCTATGACCACAGTGATCCTCTCCATGTGCTCACAAAGACTGACACCTACTTTTGTTTCTGTTTTTTGTGCATCACTGAAATCATGGATGCGTCCAAACTGTTACATAATATACTGGATACTGTCTGCTTAAATGATTGATTACCAGTCAGAGTATTGAACAGATTATAGTTGAATGAGAGTAAAAAGACTAAATAAGACTTAATCATGTGTTTTTACACAGAGTTACAGCAGTCTTATCTACCTAATGTTGAGAAAAGTGCGTTTAAAATACATATTACTTCTACCAGTAGAAACTTCCACCAATTTTTCAAAATTTCTACATACTTCAACTGTTGAGATGTAAAATAAGTCAGTCAGAATGTTTTCATGTAAAATGGTGCAGAAATGGTGTAGGTGAACTCAGATTTTGTCCATAACACAAATATAGCTTTTTTATTTACTATTTAAAGTGAGCAGTGAATCTATGTGTTCATATAGAATGTTGATAATGGTAAAATAGTGGTAAATCTGAAAATTATATCATTTTTAAGGACTGTTTTGCCTTATAACACCTTTCATGTACCTCTCAGTGTCTCAGGCATCAGGCAGCACATTCATAACATTTTGTGCAACAGTTTTATGTGAGAGAGTCTTTAGATGCTTTGGACGTCTGGTTCCTATCACCTCTGTTGCAAGTCTGACTTGATAATTGGTGGAAAATTGGTGAATTTTCCCTTTAAAATATAATGATGATTTTTAATATTGACTTCTCATTGTATACTCTTACAAAGAAAGGTTCCTGAATGGTTCTTGGTTTGGACGTACCTTAAATTGATGTTGAACTTTTATGTTTGCGGAGGTTCTTGAAACTTGAAAGGTTCTTTACACTCATACATCTCACATATAAAAATGAATTTGATGTGGTCTGATGTAAGAAGCTTACCATATATATATATATATATATACAATATATATATATATACAGCTCCTTGACTGAAATACATAGATTTTTTTTTGCACCCTTAAGACTGTGGAATAGCTTTTGAAAACACCTGTATTTGCTAAACTCTTTCCTACTAATTTACTTTAAGATAGAAAACCAATGCACAAAACACTGTAACCTACTTTCCTGTGCATATATTTTGGTCTTTTTTGTCTTAGGCTGCATAAACGTACCCCAAAAAGGCAATGCAAACAGAAGCGACTCCCGTGAGAAACACTGGTGAGGACTTAGCCATGAAAGACTGTCGTTGCTGGTGCAGCAAGACGGCTGAAAGCCCCATTTCAGCTCATCTGTGACAACAATGGAGGACTTGTCCATGGTTTGCAGGAAGAGCAATGCCATTGGGCAGGTGTGCGAGACGGTGACTTTGCATAGGCAGACCACACACCGAAACGGCAGCTTTACTCGCCGCAGACTCCTGCAGTTCACGCTCATGGCCATTAGCATTGTGGGTATTGTTGCTGGGTTCATTGTGGAGCCACATGCAATTGCTGGGGCTCCTTTCAGCTGCTTACTGCTTATGTTTAGGTATTTGCTGACAGGATTTATGTGACCACATGGGGAAGAGAAAAGAACCAGAAGATTACAGACGCTTCCATCAGAGACCAAAGACTAAAATCGTTGGAATAAAACATTAAGCCGATGGGTAAATAAAGTGCAAAGCCATGCACAGTGTTACTAGATAGCCATACCAACTGTTTTCAACTGTCTGTTTGCATGCATGAAAGGAGAGTGGAGTGACAGAGAGAATGGAGTGCATGGGAACAATGAGAGGGGACTCAATTTCAGTTGAGCTTAATGACCAGGGTGAGTTTGGATGTTGGACTTACAGTGAAGCGTGGCCCATTTGTTTGTCGCGACCTCTTTTCTGCCAGCAGGTCCTTGACTGTGTGCTTGACTCTGACCCCCTGATACACTCGCTTGGAATAGTCTGGGAAAAGTAATGGCATTGTAAAGACATTGTAATACTAACTGCTTTCATGTTTATGGCCTGTATGTGGCTCCTGCACCTCAGTTCCTCATTTTCACAACAATAATTTTACTGTAAAAAAAGATGTATATTTACATAGAATCTACCATAAGAAATTTGCATCAGTTCATTTTCTGTTTTTAAAAATAACAGCCTAACTGCTGTACATTTGTGGTTAATGACAATTTTTTTATGTTCAGCTAGCAGGGAACATTCCCACAACTTTGGCTTATGTTACCTCAAGTTCTAATAACGTTTTAAAGGAAACATTTTAATCATATGTTCAAAGAACATTTATCATTTAAAATAATGTTCCTATAAGGTTAAACTTAGACATAATGTATTAACTGCAACATTCAGAGGATATTTTGAGGACTTTGTCAGGGCCACAGTTTATGTTACTTGATGATGTTTTTAGACAATGTTATTCTACCTTTAAGAAGAACATTCTAGGAACAAACTTTGCAATATGGTTAAGTGATGGTGATTTGATAACATGATTGTATTTGTACAAGAATTTTTCAATAAAATGCAAACAAAAAAGTTTCACAAAGGTTTACATTTACATAAAACCTACTGTAAAAGTTTGTGTCACTTAACATGCAAATCACATGACAGTTTAATGACCCTAAATTTAAATAAAACAATAATGACAATTATTTCACACTTTTCCATCATTTAATAGTTGAAACCCATGTAAGGTCAGACACACAGGTAGACTCTCAACCATGACTGCCTGTCAGGATCTAAACATTCTTACTTTTATCACTTTTACATTATGCAGTTTGTTTCAAAATGAAAGGACTGCAATGCAGATCATGTATCATGTGTTTAATATATGGGTACTGTTTTAAGAATGTTTGAGAGAGATATAAACTATAACTTTTTATTCAATATTTTATGTAGTTATTGTCCCAGTTTAAAACAAATAATGTGCAAATAATCTCAATTTTTGTCCATTTTTATTGAACACAGTGGCTGTCATTTGCATTGTGTGAATTCCATTATGAATAGAATAGAAATGCTGCAAAATTACTTGAAATAAAACCTTATTTTGGAGGTGCATGTTTTTCTTTGGAAAGTGACAAAATACAATTAACAGCTGCATTTTCACAAACTGCCAGAAATTTCTTTTTAAACCTCACCCCAGCATCAGGAGGTTCCTTGTTTGAATCCCAGTGAGGCCATCCTTGGAGAGCATGTGCTAGCAGCACTGTGAGATCTGGGACATTCTAACTAGTGGGTGATAACTGGCCATGACTAAATTAGGGTAAAATCCTATTAAATCCCAATTTAGACATTTTTAAGCTTTGTTCACTTTGACCTGTATTATTACATATCTGGAGGTCTGTTATGTGAAAGTCACTAATAATTAAAGTTACTAGTTGCAATAATGTACAGTACAACTTAAGACCTTGTTGTGCAAATTATTGAGCAAAAAGTTTATATCCTATTAGTGTAAAACTGGCAACATTTTATTCCTAGATGTTCTATGTAGCATCAAGTGACTTCTGGAGTTATTACTTCATAGCACAGTTTCTTGGTCAGGGATTAAGTCTAGTTCTGGACTACATTTTGCTTTCAATGGGGATTATCCATTCAGAATGGTGTGTAGTCCAGAGCTTGGCTCAATACTTGTCCAGGAAAGGAAACCTAGAGCTAATAAAAGTTTAAAAAGCACTAAAGTTATCAATGAGTCAATTTGCATCACAATTTGAATAGCTTTTCATGATATTTATGGATTTATTGATTGTATTGAAAACTCTTCCATACAAGAGTTCATTTAACCACATTTAGTTGTTCAAGTAGGTTGAAACTTTAAACATATTCCCAGGTATTTAAAGTTATGTGAAGGTATATGAAGTATCAGTGATTTATTAAAATCTTATTAGCTCTATAGTACAAAATTCCAGAAGTCACTTGATGCTATCTACAACCTATAGGAATCAAATGTTGCCAATTATACTTTAATAAGATTTTAGAAGATTACTTAGTGATCAATAATTTACATAACAAGGTCTTAACAAATTGCCTATTGTGCATTATTATGACTTAGAAGTGTCTAATTTTGGCTTTAGTGAACCTTAATGAATCCCCAATATGTGTTCCTTAAAATAAAGTGTTACCTAAAGTGTAACTCATATATTGGTCTCATAGCAAATAAAATAGTACTAAATAATTAGTAGTTTGTAGTAGTTCCTGAATAATGTCTAAAGAATAATAACTTAATAAGTGTGCTTAACCTTGAGCCCTGATAAACTCGTTTGGAATACTCTGGGAAAAGTAAAGCTGAGGTAAAACATTTAAGTTTAACCACTTAAAGCTTAACGGCCTGTATGTATAGCCACATTTCAATTCCTCACTTTCATAACAACACTCTTTATGTACGAGCTTCATATTAGTTAACAAATAGCTAATTTATACAATAGTTACAAAACAAATCTTAAGATCAATAACTGAAAAATAAGTCCGCCATTGAAGGGATTAAAAGAACACTTCAATATTTTTAAAGCTAATTTGAAGAAACTTCCCATCAGCTTCTATTATAAGTGTATCTGTGTCAGTGGGTTTTCTGTCCTAAGTAGGGGAAACATACTGAAGTTATTTTATGTAGTAATCAACTGTACAACACAGATCTACGGAAAGAGATTAGGTAAAAAAAAAAAAAGTCTTTCATTAAATAATTCATTTCAGTCATATCAATGTCAAAGGAAGTGCAAGATTACTTTTATGTAAATATATTATGGGTTATTCAATTCATTCATTTTTTTGTGATATAATTGTAGAGAAAAATAAGTAGCAAATAAAAGACTTTTTTCCACATATACAGCTTCATTCCAGCACTCGTAACTCAAACACGATACCATGATATTAATGTATTTAGTGTCATGCAAAAGCCAGACCACCCTGTAATGTCATACATTATTGATAAACAATTATTGGAGCTTTTAATCTATCCACTTGTATTTGTAAAGGGAAATTAAAGTCCTACTAAATATTGAAAAAGTGATATATTTTCTTTTAGGATTCTCTGTTATTTTCTATTAAATACATGGTTTCAGATTTTTTCTGATTCTGAATATTAAAAAAAAGTACTAAATGGCCATTTTGACAGGAAATTAACTAAATGAAGGGCGCTCTCTGACTTTTGCACAGTACTATAACTCAAATCAAATATACTGAAATCTAAAATTATATTAACAAAAGTTTGAGTCATTAAATGTAGTAATTGTCTAAGAATTGCTTTCAGTATCCTCATTTGCCAGTCACCTTTCATGCTTTTCATTGAATGCATGGACAATTATGTTTAATGCACATTATGAGTAAATAAAATAGATATTAAATTGCAATATTTATTTACCAAGAAAGTATGAATACAGTATATTGTTGTGTTATATGTTATTTGGCACATCACATTATGTCTTTATCTAGTTCTTTTGTTATAAGATTATCTTTGTTTAAAGTAACAGGCTGTGCCATATACATGTGTGCATGTACAGATTTAAAAAAAGATGTGTTGGTATTCAGTGAACTACCAGTTTATATGGTACAAGTAACTATAAGCTGTTAATTTAACCAGACAATGTTGTGAGAGACCGACTGGAAAATACTGTTCATTGATTGATTTATTTTAACTGTCTCCTGTCTGTATTTTTCCTGTTTTTTACAGGTTCATGTTTACAGGAGCCTCACCCTTGAAGGACCTGTAACAAAAGTTGATGGCCCATACAGGGATCAACCGATGACTCTTGCTGTTGATCCCTAAATCCATGAAGCCAAGACTAAGAGCCACAGGCCCAGAGCAGGGGGTACGCCGTGTTTAGCTGAGGCAGCGGAGGTGACCAGAGAATGAGGAGCCCTAGCTGATGGGGAGGAGCACAACAAATTCAAAGGGACTGAAGGACTGAATGAAGGCTGATGATGAGAAGCAAATCATGGATGACGCTGAACGGAAAAGGCTGACTTGGAAGATCAAGAAGAGTCTCTACAGGCTAGCTGCTGCCAAACTCTTTGAAGTCGCAGAGAGCACCACGACCTTGATTTTTCCAGGGTAATTAGAGGTGATGAGGAGGGCTGTTATGACTACATATCTGCTTACCTAGATTGTAAAACATTGCTTGAGTTGGAGGATAAGGGTTTGTCCCAGCAATGTTATTTGGCAGATAGTTATTTGGATCTTGTAGCTAGACAAGCTATAACTTCAAGGAGTCAACCTAGAGGTTTAGAGAGTAAAGCGAATGTATCAGCTCCATCACATATCAGTATGCTGACCCAATCTGAAATGACAGAACACACAGTAGCTGACTTTCCTCAGGGCAACTTAGTTGATCCACAGATCCATGTGTATCAGAAGTTAATGGCAATATATGATGCTTTGGGCAAGAAACCAACTGAGCTTAAAACATTGTCAGATACGCCACCTGTGCCACCTAGGCTTACCTAAATAATTCCACCACCTGCTTGCGTTCCTATGTTTAACCAGTCCAAAACCCAGCACAACATGAATCTATCCAAAATCGTAACCCAAACCACTCAACTCTGCCTCTGGTTTTGATTCTTTAAGGGATCTGCCATTTTTGCATCACAGAGACAGAGTCCATGGGAGGCAAGTAGGTGACAGTGCTTCTGATATCAGTTGTCTGTGAGCCACCCCAGGAGCAGTAATCCAGACTTGTCAGTACACATACCCTTTCTGGTGAGCGGTGTGTCCACTGACCAGCCCTTACTTGGGTTCAATGTGATTGATCAGCTGAGGCACTTGTAAACTTCATCCAGATGCAACAGACCTTGATGCTGTAGGGAGCAGATTGAAAGTAGGACTGATGCTATAATCCCATCTGGTCAAGTGTAGAGTGCCCCCTAACTTTTACAAGCACAATCCACTTGTATTTTTTTAACCAAATAAAGACAACATTCAGGTGAAGAAGTTGGACATGGGTGACAACTTACTGCAAATTTGC